TTATCCTGCTTTATTTGAACAAATTATCACTGTAACTTTACCCACTCGATCGTGCGCAATTTGCACGCTTTTCGATGTAAACCGAGAAATAAACTATTCTTATTAATATTATAGTCGGCCTAGTAGCGGGCAGGACCAGAGGCACCGAAGTTCATTCACCCCCAGCCACTCGTGGCTTTTGTGGGCCCAAGACTGGTGTAACCCTGGGAGCTTGGATACCAGAGTTAGGTGTTACTCTCACAAGACCACCGGTGACGATGTCTACGTTCATAGCACGGTGTCTCTCAGGTTCATACTGGGAAAGGTTACTAACCGAGGCCTTGATCCAACTGCGTTAACGCCTTTCCATATTCCAATGTGGTGGCACATGACAATTGGGGTGCTTGTGGGCATCCGAATCATCCTGAATATGTCGTGGAGGCTGCGCCTTTCAGCTTCCTTTCACGCTCTACTTTCACGAATATATGGCTCCCTCAAATTATGGAAGATTAGATTCCGCGTCCTGCCTAAGATCATTTGAGTGGAATTTTTCACCATGGATAGCTCCCCTTCTAGAACTTCCATTCGTGAAATTAGGGCTGCAATCACTCCAGATTCTGTATCTTCCTCTTTAATAGCTTGTTCTCCTTTCGTCTTTAACCTAATTTCCACCGACTCTGTCAGTTTAACACTAATGCTCAGTTTACCCTTGTTCTTTTACGACGTATTTGTACTCTTCATCTACATCTTAGGGTTTAATCCCTCAGCACTCGAGCGCGAATGTCTCGCACTGGTCACATACCCACTTCAGATTCTCGTTCTGAAGGTGTATGAGGTACTCTCTGTTTCCAAAGAGTGAGCACTTTTGATGGTGCCACTCTTTGCACCTATTGCACTGAATGCCATCAGCTACATACAAATTGCAACCCGTGCCACAAAAATGACTTTCGCTCTGTGCAGATCTCATTGATAAACGTGCGAAAATTTCAAAAACACGGTCATGAAAAACAGATAAACGGATAAAAGGGTGAAAATGACTAAGAACGCTTTGGGAACACCACTAAATAAACTAAAAACGACTCAGATACAACCTTTTGAACCGCTAAAGGGTTCGACACTTTGTATTGTAAGCAATAAAAGATTTAGTGCTAAAAGTGCAAAATATCTACAGATATTTCACTGGTTTTAATACCGAGAGCAATTCGAAAATTCAAACCGCGCGCGAACGTACCGCAGAGACATGGAAGTACCGCAAGATACCGCAGATCCAACCTTGGAAACATTTGGAAAGCAAAGACTGTGGAAGCACTGTGTTGCCCACATTGAGCTCACCTGGTATAAGAAACTGGACTCCATCTGGCTCTGCCGCAAGTCCTGTATCCTGTCCTGTCCTGACCTTGACACATTTAATTTTCCTTACTATTTCCGGGTACGCCGGAGTGGATCTCGGTGTCTAATTTTGGTGTTCTCCGTTTACCATCGTTACGAGGTTTTCCGTGGTGATACGGCCGACGTTACTCCCCCGAACCCCCCTAAAATCTCCTTTTATCAAGCTTTTTCCTACTCTGAAGTACATTTTTCTCCTTTTTGTGGATTAGTTTTCCAATTTTGGGTTCATTTTAAGTCACGAGAATTAAATTTGCTGTTAAGAGGATAAAATTATATCTAAGGTGAATAGCTTGCAGTCACTTTTTATTGGAATATTTGGAATAAAATCTTGAGAAAGATGCAGAATCCTGAATTTTATTCCACAAGTCAGTAAACTGAATGCCTTCAGTTTTTGTCCCATGTGACAAAGTATCCATTTTATTCATTTTTGATACAAATGTGTGCATTCCGTAATATAACTGATACCTTGATTAACGTATCAAGAAAATGACAGATTCTCCAAAGGAAGCAAATATTAGCGCAAAATATATCTATGCGCGTCAGTTATTCGCCTGAAAGATCTACTATTATGCTTTTCTTTCAGCACACATTTTATGAGATCAATTTCATTGTTCGCTATTTCCGAGGTTATCTGGAATCAACCTGAAACGCCGGATGTTGAGTGCCCACCTTTTACCTTGGCCGCATGTTTCTCGTGCTGGTGAACCGTGATTTTTTTCGCGGTTGACATCACCAGCCGGCATCCCCATGGATTCCCGTTTGTTGGTGATAAATACTTTATTCAAGCTATAGCTTAATTAATTCCATTTTATTCAGTTAATTCAATTAATTGTAATTTTAATTAAATCGACTTTGTTAATTTAGTGAATAAAACTTCTACCTGAAAGTAAGAATAAGTATGAAGGCTTAATTTTTGTCTCCACTAGTGGAGACTGCAGTAAACCATGGTTTACATGTCTGTAAATTAGTTCTAGTACATATGTAATAGAATGAAACAGCATAGAATAGATTAGCTATTCTAGGTTCTGTAATCATAGCCTTAGGGAAGATATGGCATTCGTGGCCATGGTTTAAACCTCAGAATACCACAACAAGTTTGTGGTGCAAAATTAAGGTGCGATCGACCGAGTACTTGACCTTTGGATTGGTGTACAAAACTCCGTCAGCTAATGTCGCGGAAATTTTGCATGGCCTCCGGCAGCGGATCACGGGCGGACGTTGTTTAATACTGGGAGAATTCAACTCCGAACAATAATTGGACAACAGGCTTGTGTGAATATCTCGAGGCCCCATTTGAACGTCAGCCACATTGGAATACCTCGCCTTGTACTAATACATCCGAGATCCCACGCGCGTCCTGGGTACTCTGCATCGGTGCTAGACCTTGTCATATCGCCGAAAGGTTCTGATGTGGGAGGCATAGTTTGGTTGAATCCCCTCGGATCAAGTGATCATGCGACCATCATGAGTTGCTGGCGCACAAGTTTCCATATCAAGTAGGACATTCAGTAGCGTCCCAGTGTGTGCACACATTCTATCCTCCATGGAAGATACTATCCGAGGAGCTGCGAGCGGCTGCTCAAGGCGTGCCGTGGTCAACAGATGATGATGATGATGATGATGATGATGACAGTGGTGATGTGGAACCCGTGTGGACACATCAAGAACAATATCACCCATCTAATCAAAGTGTTTTATCATCCTCATATAGTTCAAGTGTACGCCAAAGATCCTCCATGGTTTAACCTCCTGCGTAGAAGTAGAGCATAGAAATTCTGCCAGCAAACCGGTAGGGGTATGGCTGTTACAAAGATATCAGTAATCAGTGCGCCTGGACAAAACGTCGGAAAAGAGAGGTCTTGGAAAACAGTCTGTCAACCACCGCAATCACCGCACCTAAGAGGCTCTTTACCTATTTGTGTTGAAGGCAGTGGTGTCAATTCTTAAAACTTTTCACATTCAGGATCTACACCCTCTATTGACTGTCTGGAAGTTAAACCCCCATGGATTGCAGGTCACACTGAAGAAACTGAATCTCAGTCACTCTCCAGGCCCAGATGGAATACACCCCAAGGTGTCCAAAGAGCTTTTGACCGTTATATCTGCCTTCCTCTCTGGCTTCTTTATTAGTTCTATAAAACATGGTGGGTTTCCTGAGGATTTGAAGGATGCACTAATATTGCCCATGTATAAGAGCGGCTCCAGAGTACACCCAGTGAATTACCGCCTCGTTTGTTTGATATGCATTCCATGCAAAGTAATGGAACGCTTGGTTTTGAGCAGGCTGCATCGCCAACTGATGCATTATCAACTGCCTTGCTACAAACAACATAACTTCCACCCGAAGAGGTCCTGTCTATCAAACCGTTTTCTGGCCAGGGAAGAATGATGTGCCACCAGAGTCCGTGGATTCCGTAAGGATATTGTTTACGTCGACCTCAGCAAAGCTTTCCACAAGATCCCAAATGAAAGTCTGCTTTTGAAGTTACAGTTTTGGAGTAACAAATCCAATGCTTACTTGGATGGAGGAAGTTTTAAAGGGAAGATGTTTTATGGTGAGGATCCAGATAGTAAGTACTCAGCGAAATCCCCAGGGATCATATATGGATCCCGTTCTGTTCCTTCTATATATAAACGATCTTCCTAGTCGGATACAGTTACCAGAATTTTAAAGCTATGGACGTCACTTCAATCGTCACAAGATGTGGGGTTTGCAAGGTGATATACATCGGCTGTCCGAATGGGCGAAGGAGGCGGCGCTTCCCATCAACATCGGTAAATTTATACACATGAGACTAGGTTGCAGTGACCTAAGACCGACATTCTCCCCAGGAACAGTGACCCTGAGAGCGATTTGAGGGTAATGATTTCTTCCTACCAAAAAAGACAGGCAACACTGACAAGGTTTGTTTGGTCTGACTGAAGCATCCTAGCTGCTATTTGTCGCTCGTTTGGACAGCTATCGAGACAGGCATTTAGACTTCTGGTGGTGCAGCGGAGTTTTCGATAACTCCGTTAGACATGGCGAAAGTGAAGCGTGTCCAAAGAGCGGCTGTCCGTCTGGTTGCGGGCTTACGTGCACGAATTGATGACCAGCAGCTCGCCATCGCGGATCTGTATATGAAAACCTACGGACGATTTCGTGGTGACAGCCTGATGACCAGGAAAATCGTCCTGGGTGACCTGGAGGAGAATTTGCAGCAAACGTTTCCGCTGCACGGACGCGTTTAAGCCTCTGGAAACGAAAATCCTCCGTACTTTCGTCAGTGTATCGTTTCTCCGGGAGAGTGACCAACATTCAGAATGCTCTCTCGGCGGATGTGGTGGAAGATGTGAATGACGAAACCTTCAAACGGCGCCTAAACGGTTTCCTGTTGTGAGGGTGGCAAGTTGATGAATAGCTTGTCTGGATGCGGTGGAGAAGGCTTATACGGGAGGAGTCCCTACTGCCGTTCATTCCAGAAGGTACAGACAAAACGTTTTGCCCAGCAAGTCTCCAGATTATCTCTCTGACTGGGATGATGGTTATTCGGGTTCTTTGATCTCTTGCGTGCACTCAATTTCCTGTTACACAAGGGCTTCTGCATCCAAACCGCATCCTGTATTACAAGATGATTTGAAAATGGAAAATATGTAGTTCTCACCACTTTTTATATTTAACGGTCTCTCACTGGCCCCATAATAGGGCAAGCTGCATGAGCGTCACATAAGCTTCACTTGGCACTCACTTTACTATTGAAATGACTAATAAAATGTTACCTGGGAGTTCTTAGCATCAAAAGAAAGGATGTACTTTTTGGTGCAGAAGCTTCTGTTACCTAACAAAAGAAATACCAGGACTCCATATACTTACATATTTATGGAATATTAGCACGTCTTGTGTTGGATAAGTGAATTTCATATATCAACACAGGGCCATCGGTCATTCAAGTTCCATTCCACCTTCAAACAGGCTTCATCGCCTTGAATTCAGAATTCCTAAAGTTATGTGAGTTCCATCTGAGTCCCGGTGGTATTATGTTCACAAATGCCACCATTGATATTCGTCTTATTGTGGTATCGTTTCAGGATGTCTGGAGGTTCAAACGAAACTTCCATGAGGTAATGTGAAGGACAAATTTGCTTACAGTCATATGTTAAACTGCATATATTACTACTTAACTTCACTACATATAACGAAGGAATCGAATATAGAGTTCTCTTTGTCGCGGCAAGTTAAGTTAATCTTCTTCAGCTTGATAATAGTATATGTACAGTGCTTCTTCACCTGAAGTGATCTTGTCGCAGGGCATCAAATGGGGTTAACGGTGATTACTAGTGAGATTTTACACATTTTATTCCTCAGCAGTAGAAAGCTACTGTTTGTGCAGAAAATTAGGACATAGGCTTTAATGTTAGGAAATCATGAACGAATTTCTTTGCTATATAGATTATTGTACCTCGATGTTTTGATACAGTCTGGGTTTAAATGCTAGCGACCCATGATAAATGTGGAAGATACGGAGTTAATTAAAATTTCTCTTTCACTCTTCATTTTACAGCCATGAGTAGTAATACTATCAATCTGGTTGTCATTGGCGACGGTGCTGTGGGTAAAACATGTTTAATTGAATCTTACATCAACAATCCTTTTCCAACAATGTACGTACCAACTGTTTTTGAGAAGTACACGGGGTCCTTAACCGTCAACGGACAAAATCTGAGCCTGAAAATATGGGATACAGCTGGTAGGATTTTTTATGCATTTTATTGGCGCTCATAATATCTTTTCAGGCCAAAGCGATCATGAGCATATTCGTGGATTAACATATTCTGGGGTCGATGCTGTCATACTGTGCTATTCGGTAGTGCATGAGACATCTTACGAGAACATTCGGTGCAAGTGGAGCGAAGAATTGCTCAAACATCTTCCCGGAATTCCTGTTGTGCTCGTTGGAACTAAAATAGATCTCAGAGAAAGAATTATTCCTGGATTTACCCGAGCAATAACGTACGACCAAGTAAGCCTTTGTTGAAAGTACTTAGCTCTTCTGTGTGCGTTGTATCAGACAGATATACTTTGCAGTGTGCTCTGATAGGACCCCGAAAATTGTGAATCCAAATTTTTTTGATTGACTTAAGAGCACTATTATTCATCACAAAGCAATGTGCTTGATCTGCAGGACAGTTATAAGGCAGTTATAGGAATACCTTCGGCTAAAGTGACTAAATACTGGAATCTTTTCAATACAAACGGCATCTAACACCTCTTGTATCAAGCCTAAATCATCCATAGACTGCATAGTTCGATTTTATCCGCATAAGAATATCTTTTGTTGTTATCATACCAAGCATATGATCGGTTTCAGTTGGGTTGGTGTTCCAGTTCAGAAAAACTAATGGGAGCTACGTTTCGTGATGCTTGGGTAAATAGCTGAATTTCCTCTGTATGATTTGCAACACTTCATTGTAATATTTTTGTAATATTGTAATATTTTTACTGAAAAATTATCTATTGGAAATTATTTATTGGAAAAACATGAGTTAAACCCAAAGGAGCAGGGACAGCAATCATTAAGCTGAAGGTTAGCTTATAGCCATAGTGTCCGGGTTTAAAACGTAGCTTGGACAATAAAGCATGACTCTGATTAAGATGGACAGTAGTAAAATAGTTCGGGTAATCGACTACGTCTAATATCATACAGAATTGTTTTCTTTGTTACTAATTATGACTGTTGTTCTTTTTCGAAAATTTGATAAATTTATTCGTTTATCGGTCACAATCTTAAACAACGTTTATCAGAACATTGGATTACCTAAAAGGTTACCAAGAAATTTCGGTCGAACGAAGGTTCATTTGGGTAAACTGTGAGTAGAGTATTTTATCAATTCACTTAATTCTGATTATCCCTTAAATACACCACAGAAGACCAGGGTGGAACGAATTTGAATTGAATTATTATTTAGGTGGAGTGCTTTGAAGCGGAATTTCTATTGAAATAAATGCTGGTTATTGCCTTTACATTGAAGCACGCACTCAATTTCTGAATAGGTATGCAGAAAACGGTTAGAATTTGAGGTAAAGGGTTCACATAACCCTAGGTATAGTCTCATTTATTTGGTAGCTTTAAATGTTTCCGATCAATTACCTATGCGACGCTGCTTCTGTATAATACAACAGTCGACAGAAATCAAAGTTATCATGGTGGATCCATTTGAGGTGCAGTGTGAAACAAAACTATATCAGAATTCTTAAGCGACACCTAACATGAGTTATTGGTATGAAAGACTGCATGCATCATTTTCTTATCAAACTTTCTTCTCAAGACAACTACTTGTAATTGTTAGTTAAATATCACTCTATTCAGGTATGGTGCACCCGTAGGTCTCAAACTCAGCACGGATCGTAGAAAATTATTTTCTTGTTTAACATATTTTGTCAGCAGTGCTAATATATCGACTCAGCCTATGGTGCAGAGCTGAAACAGTTGGGAACTATGTTTGGTGCTCAGATAAACGAGCAGATTAAAGCGGAACTCAAGTTAAGGGTGGAATGAATGAAGATGACGTGTGGAGGAGAAGAATTATTGATTTGACATTTAAAAACCGGACATTTTTGCTTCACTTCTTGTATAATTTTGTTTAGTTTTAATGGTTGGCGAGCTTCAGCGACAGTTTTTATTAACTGGCCATGTAACCCAGTGTTTGTGTTGGTGTGTTCTCGGAGCTGGAAGTGTTGTTCACCAAAGTTTCGTAGACAGGCTAGGCGGCATCATCAGTGCAACTTCGGTGAAGCTCCAGTCCTTAGTGTAACCGGGCTCATATATTTTTGTTCTAGGGTTTTGATTGTCTTTTTTCTCTCTTACTTGTCAATTTTGATCATTTTCTTTTCTTTTATTGGCTGCTGTGTTGTTATGATGATGCCCCGTTTTATTCATTGGTTGATTGGCTTTCTTGGACCAACCGCAAATCGGTCTACACCGGCTTCAAACTGGTTAGAACTGATTCTACACCGGCTCTGGCTGAGATAGTTTTGGGTTACCAATGTCTTCTCAGGCAGTGATATGTGGGTTCCAGTTCTATATGCTTTTTGATACCGTCCCTATTGAAGTGCCGTGCTTCGATGAATTCTCGTATTGACTTTGTGATTCCTCTGCCCATTATTCTTGCCTTGTCCAGTTCGAAGACGTGATTCTCAGGATCCATGTGGATTGAGATTTGTGACTCCTCCTCTTGTCGTTTTACCACCAGTGTGTGTCCGTGTATTCGTGTCTTGAGTTTTCTACTGGTTTGTCTGACATACTATGTATCGCGGTCGCTACACTTTACTTCGCATGTGTCAGCTATTCCTGCGGCCTGGATAGGATTGCTTTCACTGTTGTCGTTATCTTGGGTGCAACCAAAATTCTTAATGGCTGTAATGTGGCTGCTATTTCCAAGAATCCGTGTATATATGGCAGTGTCGTTCGTTTCATCGGTCTTTCTTCTGGCTGTCGATTTGAGGCTTCTCTCGGGACCTTGATTATAGTCCTCTCCTTGTGCGCCGTATGTCAGCATCGTCGCACAAAATCTCCTGGGTACCCGTTACGCTGGAGCTCATCTGAATGGTGGGTTTCCTCTACCTTTTGAAGCTAAAGATTGCTTCATTGCGTTCTTGCATGCTGGAAACGTGTTTACATACAGCTTCTCTTGTGTGTCGGGTGTTGGCCACTCTGAAAGCTGAGGATCAGGTCTGTGTGGGTTGGATTTCGGTAGATGTCGGGTTCCCAGTTATCCATTGTCACTTCGTTTGACTATTACATACAGAAAGGTTGGTTATCCGTTCTGTTCTTTCTGTAAGGTGAAGTGGATCCCAGCGAACACATTGTTGATTTGGTGGTACGTCTCCTCCAGTGGACTAACTTTTAAGATGACAAAGCAGTCATCAATCAGCCTGACCCACAATTTGCGGTTGATCATAGCAACTGCAGTGGTCTCCAAGCTCTGCATAACCGCTTTGCGATGAGTCCTGAAATCGGCTATTTGTATTTGGTTGTATAGCTGTCAGTGGAATTTAAAAAATGTGGAAAGCCACAGATCCAAAAGGTCCAAGGCATATGTACCGACCAGCTGCAGTTCTGACGTACAAAAAGAGGATTTCTACCATAAACTCACCGAACGCATTTGGTTGAACGGAAGCTCAGGTATAGTTGGGCTAGTATGTGCTTTTAACTCGAAAGTTGGAAAACTGAGTGCCTAGGCGGTAGTTGTTCTGTTCTGTGGACGAACAGATAACGGCGATCGGCTTCCTCAGTTCTTTGTAGATCACCAACTGCTCCTATCCACTATGAATTTCCAACAGAGCTCTCAACGGACGGCAACATGGCGCTCCAATTTAACTGGTACGCTAACTTAAATCGGTCACATACCTGTAAGCTATCGTTGGCGTGGCTCAGTATAAAACTGCAGGTGCTATTTGACCACCTGCATTGAGTTTGATCACGCATTAGTTTTGATGCACTTCACTCTGACTCACTGGTCGCATGAAAACCCACAAAATTCGGTTGGAAGATCATCGGTTATCCGGCCTAACCGTTCCTTCTCACTTTGAATCGGAACTAGGGCAAGAGCGAAAAGCGCTGCAGAGTTGTGGTTTAGATGAACAATGGGATCAGATTAGACGAGTAATGCTCCGCTCAGCGAGACTTGCTTGTGGATCTGAGCTTGAAGCCCATGAGAGGCATTAGATATTTGATGAATCAGTAGTCCTGATGAAGAAAAGGCGGCAAATTCCGACCAAACTTGAACCAATCAGGGGCAGATGGCGACTGCATTGTCAGTTCGCGAAGAGCCTCAAGAAGGGTCGTGAAAAGTGGTGGGTGACATTAGCTAGTGAAATGAAAGTAGCAGCCGCATCAGGGAATGATCAGAGACTGTTCCAACTGATAGGTAACTAGGGAGGTCAACGAACCACAGTTAGTGGAACAATCTACGACAAAACCGGAAAAGCTATTCGCAGTAGGGGAAAACGACGGGACCGGTGGGCGGAGTACTTCAACGAACAGTTCAGCTGGTCAGGCGCTAACCAGACTATCTAGTCTCCGTGGACAGTGTCATTTGAACCTCCGACTGAAGCGTAAGTGTGATATTGCATCCAAGCCCTGAAAAAAAAAAAGTAACAGGACCTGACGGGCTTCCTCCCACTCTTTTCACCAATTTTCACCATGTTCTGTATCCTAATCCACCTATCCCCTTTCACTGTCATTGTTATTGCGTTGGCACCATGCTCTTCAAGCCGGTGGTATATATATATATATTTATATATATATATATATACTTTTCAAGATAGGAAGGCGATGACCTCGTAGACTCTATTACCGATTTGATCCGTAACATGTGGTCACAAGAGCGCATTCAATCATCATAGAGCGAATCATTGATCTTTCCCTTTTTTAAGAAGAGATAACGCAATGACTGCGTAAACCACCGCGGAAAAGTATTAACCTCCGTCATACTTCTATGTCGGACTCCCTTCAGAGAGACGAATATCCGCGAACAGCAAGCAGGATTTCCACCAGGTCGCGGTTGTGTCGATCAAATCTTCACGCTGAAAGGACCCCTCAAGCTACGTCATGTATACCGTCGATCAATGGTTGTCATGTTCCTTGATTCGAAAGGAGCCTTCGACTCCGTTGACCGCGAATTCTTTATGGGTTCGCTCCTTCGCAAAGGAATGCCGCAGCAGTATACGAACATAATGAGTTTACTCTACTAGCGTAAAGGTTTACGACGAGCTAAATAGGTAGTTCTTAACTAGCAGTAGTGTTCGGCCCTATTTCGCCATTCGTGTTCAATTTCTTCGTAAAGGAAGTCCTGGGGAAGGTACTAAATGGTCCCCAAAATGTAGGTATTGAATGTCAGCTGGAGAAAAGCCGTGCCATTTGGAGTACGCTGACGACATCGTTTGCCGTTCGAATACATGGAGGATGCATAAAGTGTTCTAAACACCAGAAAATTCTGCTGCTCCGTTCGGTACACGCTTTGTTCCGTCAAATAGTAAAGTGAGGCTGCCGGACTGGGTGTCACCGAGTTCCGTTCTGATACTAGACGGTCAGGAATTAACCGATGCTGACCGATTCTCGTATTTAGGTAGCTGCGTGACCCATGACGATAGTTCACTGAAGGAGATAACCACCCGTGGTTCCAAGGCTTGAGCAGCGTATGCAGGACTAAAAAATCTGTGGCAACGACGTGGCGTTTCATTAAAGTTGAAAAATTGCGCAAACTGCACCACTTTACGATCAGTTCTGCTGTACGTTTGTGAGACCTTGAATTTGCGGGTGAAAGACATCCGTCGTTTAGCAGCTTTCGATAATCGATGTTTAATTATCCTGACCGAGATGGGATGAATTAAGCAGGTTAGTAACCTAGAGGTAAGTCGTCGGGTGTTTGGAACTGCATCGAACACGAACTCACTAACGCATTAAATGCAGCTCAATAGGCTCTGTTGTGTAGGACACGTCTTGCATATGTTTACCGGCCGCCTACCGCACCACGCCTTGTTTGCAGTGGCCGCTGCAGACCAGTGAAAACCACTTAGAGACAATCAGATGACGTGGCGACGAGGCATGAAGAAATGCACTGAGCGATCAGGTAGAGTAGGTGTCTCTCGCCTTCCTGGTTGGGATTTAACAACCTCCGTAACTGGATGGTTGGGGACACTGAAGGTCATGGTAGCAAACCGACAGCACTGGCGATCTTACTGTCCCTTCTTATCAGATCAGAATGGTTGAAATAGTTTATGACTGTTTTCCCTGTATGTTGACCATACAGGTTCGTTTTCTTCCCCATCCCTCCGAGTAGGCCCGATTCCTATCCTCCTCACTTACCTTGCATGCATGATCAGTTTGGCAGCGATCAGTGAAGTTCTTTTTACTGTATTATGCTATGCGATGATGATGAGGTGTAATTTACACTATTGAATTATAAAACTAAACTTATTTCCACGATTCTTAACTATATTGTATGTGTTCTGCATACCTTTTGTGATTCTACAATCGTTCTCTTTTATGCAGGGTTCTCGTCTTGCCAAACGGATCGATGCAACCGCATACGTTGAGTGTTCTGCGCTATGCCAAATCAATATCAAGGAAGTGTTTGACAAGGCGATTAAAGCAGTCTTAGAAAAACGTTCGGAGTCAAAATCACCCAAAAAGCACGAGTCTCGAAAGCGAAGCGATAAAAGTCGCTCGCGATCCAAGACTGGCCGAAAACGATCGGAAGTGCGTACAATAATGTAAAACGAATACGGAGAACGTAGCTCGATTTGAATTCATGACTCCCAGTTTTCATCCTCAATGTCACTGTTGACAACTGTGATCATTTCCAACCCCGATTTTCTATCTTGGAAAACATAATATGTAGATATTAAGTACATTTCCATTCTTCTTCGCCCTGTGTACTATAATATTCTCTAAAGATTACATTTTCCATCGATCACCTCAATGAGTTATGCAGTTTTCACATATGTTTTCATGAGCAAACAGATTCTCAGACAATACCTCAATTTATCACCAGAGCAAGAGTTTATTTTTATATTTTGCTTGCCATTCTTTATTCACTGAAAATATTTTGAGGCAGTTTATTCCACTGAAAAGTTCTTATGGAAAGGTTCCTTCCATTTTAGACGGCTTACCAAAATGTGAAGAACGGCCGTCAATTTTCATATTCTTTCTACTTCTGCATATATTTCATCTGTCCTGAAACAAGGATGGTGTATTTTAAAACTTCTCCATTTAATCTTTATTGCCATGCGTACGATCGTAGTTTCTTTCCCAGTTACGAAACAAGTATTCGACGGTTTCTTTAATTCTGCTAGATGTGCTCAAACCAGAGAACTTCTTGCTGGTTGACGTTTATAAAAATGGCCGTTGTGTACTGAAGGTCTCTTATATTTGTCCTATTTTCAGAAATTCGCTGTTTTGCACAGGATTTGAAGTTTTAATAAAGATAATTTCAAGGTGTCTAAGTTTTAATTTTGGGGGTTCCAATTTGTCTCCATCAATAAGTTGTTCAATATCACCAAGGCGGCATTCTAGCTATTGGATTTCGAATGAATTCTCACCGTTTTTACAAAGCAATGAAATATTTACCTAATGACGTCATAAAAGAATGTCACTTGATGAATGCTGTGATTAAGGAAATCATCATTTTCACTATATGTTTGTGTTAATATGGATTGCGGTCTCCACACACTGCCTCGCTGCCTTACGGGCCAGGGTTTGGATAACCGAAGTCTTCGTTTGTTAGTTCCCCAAGAAAATTCACCTGCATTGGCCTGGGCGAACTGGAAGTAATCCGCCCACATGCGAAAGATAAAAGTTTTTATATCTTTATAAAGATTATCTTACTCTGATTTGTTTAACACAGTCTGGCCTCAGACGTATATATATATATATGTTGAGTCGTTCAGAGAGTTACATAATCAATCCTTATGAACATTGGCGTTGGAAACACCTAATGTGACGGCGAAGAAGAACAAATGCTTTTGAAAACCTCCGTGATGATGCGACTATGACCTGGCATGGAGGTACGAGAAACCTTACCTGTTAAATGGGTTGCCAATGTCCAAATGTTTTTATGATTTCGCAGTGAAAATCAAGGCTAGGAGAAAAGCGGATAAGAAAAATACACGAGCGTGTACCTTATACTCATGCTCTCTTTGCTATGCTCACGAACTTTATGGATATTGTACCATTCGCTTATTGGAAATTCTCAAATCCCCTATTCGAATATTACGCCATCTCGTATCGGTATTCGAAATATGGGCTATCTATAGTCAGAACATTATTCACATTGCCACGAATTCTGACGCTATTTTTGTAGGCTCAGAACCCCTCTAGTTCATCTGAAGTTAGATTAATGATGACTCAAAAGATGTAAAAAATGATCGGTGGAAGGCTGAGGTAATCAGGCATATATAAAATGTGTATGACAGTGGATACGATTTGTTATCTAAGGGAGCCTGTAAATAAGTATTTCAAGGTTAACTTCAGATCCAAACAGAAGAACGAGATTACTTTCACAAAAGCTTTTGGTTCTTTTATGGTAATTGCAACTTGCTAGTGACTAAGCATCAGCTTAGGGGGAGGAGGGGGGAATCCCTATATGATTTCATAACCATCCTTAGAAGAACAGCCTACATTGTTCCAATTGGTGTATTAGCGTCATCCGTTTTCATCTACGCAAGATCGTAGCCATATTGGTCTAACAGTGAAATCCATCAGGATGAAAACCATAATCACTACTGTAGACGTAATTCATACACCAGCACTCCCGAGAAGCAATCTGTCTAGTGTCTCCTCAGTGTCTCTCCTCAGCATACTCATAGAGATTTCGGTAGCCTGCCCCCTGCGCGCCCTTCGATTGGCTGCGGTACGTGTTGTTTGCTCGACGTTTCGCTGGATTTTATTGTTATCTCGATGTCAAACATGTTCCGGACCCATACATACTATCGTCAGGATGTACTTAGATTTACATCTGGTAATTCTGTGCCTCACAAATAATATACCTGGAGAATCTGGCAATCATGCTTGGACCAAAAAGCGCGAGCGTGCTGGACGGCAGCATGCGCTTAATTGCACCCCTCCTGCCGAGATGACCGTGCCGTCATTGGTAAGCACCACCGTTCACTCTCTCTTCGTAAAGATCTCAGATTTAACTTCTTCACCGGACACGCATCCATTCCAACACATGTGTCGTATGCATACAAGAAACCTGGTTAAATCAAAATGTTGATGATGCTCTCATGCAGAAAGACGGCTTCGACTGCTATCAGCAGGATCGAAAACAGCAGGAAGAAAACTGTGGCAACGTATATCAACACTTCTTGATGTGGAAAGTCTGAAGTGGTATTCAGCTGTTCTGAAAAATGCATTAATTGTTTATCCGTTCGTTTTCATCCCAAATTTTCCAGATATAAATTGCAATTATTACTAATGTGTATATAACTCCTTCGTGCTCCAAGTCAGATATATCTTCTTTCTTTGATCATTGCATCCCGTTTTTGGTTCCAATATTATATGATAATGTTCATTTGACTGTTGGTGACTTCAAACATGCAAGCAATTCCCCCTGCGTTCTTTCGGCTTATTCAATTTGTCCCGTTCTCCTACCAGATGCAGTTCTATACTTGACAGAGTAATTACAAACCACCCCACTTTGTTTTCTCTCAAACTAATGGCCCCTGTCGCTACCAGTGTTCATTGTGTTCTCCTCTTAAGACCAAAGATATACTCTCGCTCTGCATATCCGACATTCATACGATCAAACCAGATAAGGTATCGTCTCCGTAACTTTTCATCAACCCGCATTTCTCTTCTCTGTCGTTCTATAACGGTTGCCCAATCTTGGTTTGCTTCTTGTTCATCACTTCTTAACTGCCAGTCTTTTCACCGAAACGATGAAATCGATATTCCGTTTTGTTGTCNTTCTCCTCTTATGCCCAAATATAAACTCTCGCTCTGCATATCCAACATTCATGTGATCAAACCAGATAAGGTTTCGTCTCCGTAACTTTTCATCAACCCGCATTTCTCTTCTCTGTCGTTCCATAAC